TATAGAATAACAACAAATATTTTCACACAAAAGTCAAATTTCACACTGAACTGATAAGAAAAGTAGAATAGCAAGCAGGAAAAGGATTCAGTTTAAGTACGTAGCTCCAGATAGGATTTAAATTACAGGACGAACAAGTAATTGTGGCTGTGATTATTACTTTGGTAGGGGATGAAAAATGATCCACATATGCGCTCCAGACAGGAATAAAATCACTGACCAGCACAGGCAATGTTAAAATTACCCCTCTTCCCTTAGGGAAATAACTTCAGTTAGAATGGAGCTTTAGACAGTGCTCTCCTGCACCATCATCAAAACACCAAGTTAGAAGATATTTTTTTGGTAGAATAATACTATCTCTCCAGTGGAGTGTCGAAGTTGTTCTGGTGGCTCATGGTTGCCAAGACACTTTATGTAGATTTGTCCTTCAATCACCCAATCTATATTTATACAAGACAACTATCTATGACATTATTTGTGTAATTGTAGAGAAAAATATCCAACTCCAAAGGACAACCATTGTCTTAAAAAGCAGGAATAAAGCCAGCAACAACTGTTCAAATGTTTGTGAGTAAAAGATGGAAACGCTTCTGTCTCATAGCAACAGAACATACTGAAATACTTGTGCCAGTACATTGATAACATATGGCATCATATATATCACCATAAACAGTTTGTCCCTCCCCATATCATACAATCTAACTCATGTCAATCAAGTCTACTATAAATAACTGCCCTGAATCATACTAACCCACACACCATGGTAACTATCAGAGTTGATCTCCTGCAGCTCGGAGAGCGATCGGCTCCGGATGCATCTCGTTAGCACGGCCCACCGGAGGCCTGTGCTACTTCAAACACCTCCATGCTGCTGCAGCTACTGCTGAGCCCGCTGCCTGCTGCTGGCTATAAATAGAAACCAATCTGAAACCCCACCTAATGAGCACAATCCACTTCAGACCTAACTGTCAACAACCAGCCACTGTGTGTGTGTGTGTGTAAAGATCTAGCTGACCATGCTGTTTTGATCATGGGTCCGCTGCAAATCACTGCTCTGCCAAGGAGTGTGTGTGTTTGTGTTTGTGTGTGTGTGTGTGTGTGTGTGTGTTAGAGAGTGTTTGTGAGAGTGTAAATGTGGTTCTGTACGTGTGTGTGCATTAGGGTTCTTGCTATCTTTTGTTGCTAAATATAGACGAAGCAAATTTCCGAGTTGCCTTGGCAGGATGAAGGCAGCACGATAAGCAAATTGTCCTCTCCCTCTCTTTCTCGCCATATTTGCTCTCCCTTATTTCTTCTCTTTCCTCGATTTCTCCGTCTTCATCTCTCTTCTCCTTAACTTGCTCAAATCTTGCTGACACGTCTTACCTCCAAAGGAGTGTGTGCGTAACTGTGGCAGTGTAGTGCGTAGCCTATTTCTGTATCTTTCCGCACATCTGTTTGCATGAATATATAAATATATTGTGCTCTAGAATTTAAAGAAAGTTAAATGGTGGATGAAGGTTTGTATTGTAAGTTCCCTACCTATCCCTATGATCTTTATTTTAAAGCACAAGCCTTGGATATTCTGTGCATGTCTTCATACTTATAGTAATACAACAATAGCTATAATTTAACAGCTAAAACTGTAATGGTTATGTAACACATGTCAATAGGACTTAATAGCTGCTGCTTGAACTTAATGCCCCTCATGACATGATGGCAAACTGGTGCAATTTGCCAAAAACACTGCAGTGATGCCACTGATTTCTCGTTTCCAGTGCTGATCCAGTTTATTCAGTACTTTTTATTTCCCAAATAGCATGCTGCCTATCTAACACACATACTGAGCCAGGCAGGTTGCCATATGTTTGTGTTGTGTTGTGTTACTCCTTAATTTTGTTTTTGAACAAAAAAAAACTCTTTATTACATCCGAAATGGATAATGTCATCCAAACAAAGGTGGCTATTAAGGCAACTGGTTACCAAATATTGGATTTTCCATGCAGTCTGTGACACAAAATATGTAGTATTATATATTACAAATTTAACATTAAGTACATTTTTTGTATGCACAAGATCTAAAATAAAGTTATATATCACTGTAATTATAACGTTAGCTGTGGCTGGTACACAAACAATCAGGGTCTTCACTTTTAATAAGCCCCACCCTTTCATTATGGTAACACTGACCATAACATTGACCATCTCAAGTCTATGAAAATCAATGACAACACTGTGGAAATTCAGGCAGGCTTATGTCTGAAGTGTACTGATCTCAAGTAAAAAAAAAAAAAAATTCCAAACTAGGTCAGTCTACTCACTATTTTAAGGTAGCAGCATAACTTATGCTTTAGGTTAAAATAGCTTGAGAGAAGAAATGACCCGTGGTGGGTCTTTCTTGTCTGCTTGATAAAACCGTGTTCTGGTTGCAACCCTCTAACAGAGCGCAGGATCTTTTCATCATTACTTGTCCTACGGTGGATTTTTTGGTGCACCTTCCCATTGCAGAGGGACATCTTTTATGAGTTGAAATAGCTTAAAATGTTGTATAGTGTACTGAGGTCTGTATTTGCTTCAGTCGTCTTTCTTACACCCTCAGTTTAGAGTAACTTATTGTCGTCTCTTCTCATTTGGTGACATTTGATCAACCATGGCTGGCTGATGGTTGAAAGCCCTATTTCCCTCTGTCTGTCTCTCTCTCTATCCCTTTCACTGTGGATGGTGTTTCAAACGTACACTAATTAGTGCAATTGTGGCTCAATAGCTGCAGATCAATGGTGCTCAGCCGCCTACTGGGAGTGACACACTGGGGGACAATCCACACATCTGTCGCACCAGGGAATATGACACAACAGAAGGCCTGTCAGCACAGGTGACAAGTGCTGTCAACGCTTCAAGGGGACAGAAAATTATAGAGATCAATGTATAAAGAGAGTCATTCCAAAATGCTACATATCTATTATTGGCAGGGCAGGGGGTCATTATGCCTCATTTGCGTTTCTGCTTTTGACATTTAAAGTGGTAATCTCTCACTACTTTCATTTTGGCAACATTGTACTTAACTCCCCAAAGATCACTTGTCAATCAAATACTGAGGCCAAGATGGCCTTTGTCCTTTTATTTATTTATTTATTTTCTTTCCTGGGTTTGTCTGCATTTTTCTATTGAGCTTTGGTGCTGACAAGCAACATGGTAAACATTATACCTGCTAAGCATCATGTTAGCATTTCCATTGTGACCACGTTAGTATTTAGCTCAATGCTGTGCACAAATACAGCCTCAACGAGGCTTTAGTCTGGTTCTTGATTAACACGTTAATTGCTTCAGAATGGATTTAAGAAATGTCTTAATATAAATGACTTGCAAAATATTACTCAAACTTATGTAGTTTTGCAGTTAGGGTGCAACAGTTGAAATATACAGTATGTTTACTAGTACATTCATACAATGTCACTATATAATATCAGTGTGCTAAAATCCTGTCCTCATCTGTGGCTGTAATCCAGGAACAATTCCCAGAAAATGTAGCAGTAGATTTGTTTAAGTCAATAGGCATTGCCAAGATACTTTGATAAATATGCTGTAGTGTTTGAAAATCTTATATTAGTGTATCCTCTAGGTTTAACTAACTCTTTTCTGTTATTTTCCTCTGATGATTTTGTCAGCCTGACAAAGATTACCCATTATTTGGTTCATGCTCTTGAGAACTTAATTCTTTGTGCATGTGCTTTGTAAACTCATTTTAAGAAACATATTCAAATCACTCAGTCTCCTCAAATGTGTCTTTAAAACATACATACACAGACACATTAAGGTCTAAAGGAGATCCTGCAATTGGAATTATTGCCTAACATTTCATTCATTTTGTCACTAATTGCAACATGCATATACCAGACAGAAATACTGTCTGCTTTCCAGTAAACTCAAAGGACTTCTAATTTTGCGCACACAACCACCTGCAAGTTACAAAAGAGCAGATCTGAGCTCTTTGATAGCTTTAAGTAAGATGTAGGATCAGTGAACCGTGCATATTCTGTGACATTTCCAGCACACAGTCATTTATTTAGGGATTGGTTCAGAGGGGATTCTTATCCAACTAAAAATTACACTTCCATATTTCCAACATTAATTGTAATAATAATAGCATAACATATGCTGCCAGTTGACATTAACATCACAATTTGACTTTTAAACTTATAACGCCATTGAGAGTAAATTAGATGACCAGCTGGCCACACACAAAATAAATGCCTGCTTCCCGGTGCCATAGACAAAGCTATGGCAAAGCAAACAGCATTTTAGAAGAGAGGTGAATATACAATGTTTTCATGAAGATGTATTTCAGATTTTTTTTTGGTAATTATTGAGTTTTAATTACTTTGAGTTGTATTTGAGTTGTTTTAAAAAAGAAAATATCCCTTTTCTCAAGAAGCACCTACATATTTAAAGCATTAGCATATTTCTTTTAAATTCAGAGTTATTGTTATTTTGTGATAATTCCATGAGATGAAAAAGGCTGACCTTTGACATTCATGTAAATTTTAATGAGGTCATCTGGCATGCAACCCAAAAAACTGAACACAAAGCCTGTTAAATGCGCAAGTGGTAATGAATTTTGCCATTTTAAAATTGTTTTCATGCAAAAAAGGCTGCATGTTATGGCCTTAAGTAACAACTCTCATAAGCACATTATTAATGTCGCCAACAAAAACTGCAGGATCAGCAGTCTCACAGCAGCAAGGCCCCCATGTGTTTTGGTCAAGGACACACTGACAAAGACGGACACTGTGGCTACTGTTGGAGCTGACCAGATGATCTCCAAGTGTGCCGGTCACTTTAACTGCCAGAATGAACTGTAGTGTGCATCATGGAAACATAATGCCACTCTGAATACAAACTGATGTTACAATATGGACATATTATGGTGGGCAAACTGGAGTCCTGAAGTGTGCCTCTGTGTAATGCAGGTGTGTGTGTCGTCTTCATGCCTATACAGAGCACAAGACAATGGGAATAATTACCTCAAATTTGATGTCCTCAGATCGTCTGCCAGTCGTCAGCGATGAAAGCCTGCAATAAACAGAAAACAAAAAAAGAACAAGTTGAATCAACCATCAGTGTCATCCACGGAAAAAGGGGGCAGGTCCCTGCCTGACACAGAACGGTGAGTGGAGGATAATTAGAAGAGAGTGCCCCTGATTGGTGCATTTGTCTACATCAAAGGGAGCTAAGTTGGAAACTAAGCAGCTGGGCAGGCTTTACATGGAGGAACAAAGCAGCAAGACACAATTAGAGAAATCACATGAAAATATAACTCCGTAGCAACGAGCAAATAGATTTTATCATAAGAGATTCTGCTCATGTGTGAACAGGCAGCTTAAAGGTACCCTGTGACATTTAGCAAAACCGCTTGATGTTGTTCATTACCAGGAACATGTCAGTTCAAGCTGAAAAATGTTGAGGGGGTGGCAGTAGCCGAGTGGTTAGAGAAATAGGCCTGTGACGCAAAGACCATTGGTTAGACTCCGAGGCATGCTGGGAAGCTCTGGAAAAGGAGAGTAAATGTGTAATTCTGAGTGTTACTTTCCTAAACAAGCACGATCAGACTGCTCAGTGTGAGACTGCAGCAGCAATGAGCTGCTCCCCAGTATGAATCAATGTAATGGTATCAGTATGACACAGAGCATGAGGCCAAGAAAGACTGAAAACACTTTCGCATCTTCCTGACCTGTACTGGAAAAAGATGATGGGGCTAAAATGTTTATTTAAAGTATAAGATTGATCTTGGGGTGGATTTGGCTGTCAGAAATGTTAGTTGTTGTCAAAGTGTCACGGCCGCTGTCCAGGGTGCTGATTCTAAAGCTGTTCTGGCACCGGTGAACTGGAAACCCACTGGTGGGGGATGGATGTCTTTGGTCTGTTTCAGATATTTTTGTCCTTTCAGACCATAGCCTGTCTTGTTTATTTGTTCTTGTCATGTTTGCTTTTTTTCTGAAATATGGTCCTATACAGAAACATTACAGAAATTAAACATCAAAGCATCAACTCAGTGAGCAAGCTAATTCTTAGCCCTAACTCTAAAATAAACATATCTAGAAGAATTATTTCTATTTCTTTTTACTGTACTTGTGTGAGGATTAAAGATCCACTGTGTAAGATTTAGTGAGATCTCACAGTGTAGTTGCACATCACAACTCTGTCGCTTCACCCTCCCCTTCCAAGCATGAAGGACAAACTACGGTTGCTGAGAAACCCACTGAAAATGTGAATGCCCCTATTAAGGGCCAGTGTTTGGTTTGTCCCTACTGGCTACTGTAGAAACATGACTGTTTAACTTGGACTTCATGGAAGGCGACCTGCAGTGTCTGTAGATGTAAATATATCATTCTACAGTAACAAAAACATAACAATTGCTGTATTCAGCTGATTATACACTACTGAAAACATACCTATGAATATTATATTCCATTTCTGCCAATAGAAAAGAAGTTGAGGTGTCAGTTGAAATGTGTTATCACTGAAAGCAGATAAACTCACTGTTACGGATTGAAAATTAAAATGAAAGCTGTGAAACTGTCAAGCACTGAAAGCTGTTTAGTTATTTGAAGAGTGTTACCAAATGAAATGTCAGTTAAAAAATAAAAATGTGTTACAATGACAAGTAACGGGGGAACCCTGGTAGAGGGGGCACTACCTTACCACCCTAACAGCAACAACAACTCTAACAATGATGTGACGGGTGAAGGCAGTTGAAGTGTCAGTCAAAGTGTAAACACTGAAAGCACTTGAAATACCATTTAGAGTTAATGAGACAGCTGAAGCATGGAGTAAGTGTGATGTCACCCACTCTGAATTTGAATATTCATTCGTGCAAACACAAAAATTACAAAATTGTCCACTGACCACAAACTGCACTTTGAATGTAAGCAAAAATTAGCAGCTTGCTGCAGCTCTATTTTACTCATCTTAAAAACATTATAACATATTTTTAAAAAGTTCTTGTTTGTTTGTTGATCCCACCAAACACTGGTGGTAGTCTATATGTTGTTACAACCCATTCATCTCAATTCATTGTTCCAAAAGCCTCCCCAGACTTCCAGACTTCCAAAATAGGTTTAAATATCTGTGTTTAGTTAGACATAACAGAAAGGAAAAGGTGAGTCACTTATGGATAATCACCTGGTTTCTGTACACAGTAATGAACAATACTGTGTAATCACCATAAGGTTGAGATTTACGTTCAAAGCTGGGGATTTAGTCGCTCAATTCATCGTCCTGAAGGTTAGCCTTGGAACAGAACACCTTATCAGAGAGTGGTGTTGGGAATGGATGAGCCTATATTGGAATCACTGATCAGCCATCAGTCAAAAACAATCTGTCAGCTCATCCATCAGGTAGACTGAGTGGAAGTAAACTCTGAGTTCATTTGTCTTCACTGGACTTAGATGTGAGTTGGACATGCAGGCGACTTGAGAAATCGAAAGATGAATGTAGAGGAACCGCACAGATAGACAGACACTGACACACACACACACACACAAACACCAGACCTTTAAACTTATCTACCTGCCGAACTAGTGCTCACATTGACAGGTGATCTGTTACAATTACTGCCACTATATTTTGACCTTGATAAAGCTTGATAAAGTAAGAGTCCTAATCAAGACTTTGAAGATTTAGTGTGGAGTTTTGTGTGTGTGTGTGTGTGTGTGTGTGTGTGTGTGTGTGTGTGTGTGTGTGTGAGTGTGTGTGTTCTTTTACCTCTACAGTATATTTTTGAGGTCCAACTTTATACCTTAAAAGAGAAGAGATTTTTGGGAAGTGAGGATGTTTTGAGGACATCTTTAAAATGCTTTTAAGGCGATAAAGACTTTTTGAGTAAAGGGCAGAATTAGGCTCAATTAAAGCATTTGCACACCCTCTCTGTGAATAATACACAGAAAGACTAACCAGCAGCCATAAATCAAATTGAAAACAAAATGTTTACATATTATGGTTACATATATGTTATTTTAACACCATGATCTTTTTTCATTTTAAGTAATCAGCATAACATGATACCAGGTGATGCTAACCACCAAGTGGTACACATAGCAGCATTTAGGAATTGAAAGTGAAAAAGCAAGGCTCTCATAATGCTAACCTTAAAGGGCACTTTATCAGGGTTATCTCAGGCTTCATACTAAAAGTCCAGTATTCACACTGATTTTAGCTCTAGTTTGGTCTCCACCAACTCTTGTGAAACCCCCCACCCCCGCCTCTTTAGCTGTTACATGTTCCACCTTCTTTACCAGCTGGTAGCTAACTTTGTCTGTCTGCCATTGGGTTCTGGACAGGTAGCATACCGTAACTTTATCATAGCTTGTTTGCTGAAAATAGCAGTCAATGTGTTGTAAGAGTTGAAAAAAATCAAAATGTTGAGAACTGCCCGAAAAGTCAAGTTCTATCAAGTTTGTATGGTAGAAAGGAAAAACAATGGAGTAAACTTGTTTCACAGTGTCTCAAACCAAACAACCAGCAACCATTTCATACAGGAACAGATTAAAAACACCACACACCATTGCCACATTCACTCACTTGACTCTTGTTGCCTTTTGTATCTAACCTCTGTGCAACAAAATACACAACAAAAGCACAACACAAAACACTGTACTGCTATTCTGAAGGATCCTGCAGCTAAAAGAAGAAACAAAGCAGGAGGGGAAACAACTGAGGCAGTCAGACTGTGGCTGAGGTGTGGAGTAGCTCATACCAGTAAGGTGACGCTATAGCTCATAGCCTGTTATCCACAGTCCAATGGACACCCTACTGGTCCTTCACACTCCACCATTTTAAATGGTGCCTGAGAAGTCCCATCATCTATGACTAGACAACAGGAAAAAATAAATGATACCCCAAAACTGGGTTTACAAGAGTTAGCTGACTTGCTGTTGTTGTTGTTGTTGTTGTTGTGTCTTTGGGAAGGGCAATTCAGGCAGCTCTGCTGAGTTTAGTGTTTATTTATATGCCCACATAAAGGTGATTTTAAAAAAAGAAAAATGATAAGAATAAGTGATGAGACAGAGAAAATAAAAATAAAGAGAAGATAAAATGATGTCATTTCACTAACAACAAACTAAAAAGTTGTCAAGATGACAAACAAACACTGCTGAAGTAGATAAAAATGACATCTGTGCAACAGGAGGCATCCATTAATAAATACTTTAGTCAATCATAAGGAGATAACCAAAAACATTTTGAGCTTAACAAAGATCAAACGTATTGCAGGGTTGCTGCTTTAGATAGCATTTTGTTGTACTGGCGTATATTTTCCTGTTCATTCCTTTAAACTGCATTTACGGAGTTAAGTAACCTTTTCAAAAATGGTGTACTTGTTTCCACTCTCTCTAAGGCTATTGAGTCTCTGTATGTCCTTTGATGTGGACAGAGCTTCAATAAATCTTTATGCATGAAACAGTCTCTTTATTGATGCTCTCATAGACTGTAATTATGTAAATTGCTGACCTGTTTTCAAACAAGGATCAGCTTTAAGCTAATTTGACAGGCACACTTTTTCCCATTATGTATCTCCAGCACAGTGTGAAATGTGAAAATGAAATGCGCTGTTAAGGTTGTTTTGATAGGTACGATTGACTTAAGGCCATAATTGAATCATTAAACGTGAACTTTAACTGTTTTGTGTCATGAACTTAAATGACAGCCATTTATGTTGTCGGATTTGTGCTTACAAATTTGGGGTCTTGTCACACAATTATGATGATAAACAAGTTAGTTAGTTAACTTAAACTGAATGAACTGGATAACAGTGCATGTCTGGAATAATAGGCAACACAATGCCTTCACAATGTAACCTTCCCATTATTTATGCACATAAACAACAAATGTTGTGGATCTGTGTTGTGGTGAATGGATTTCCTTTGTCAGTTTCTTTTATTCATTTCAAAAGTATCCTTCAGAGTTTGTTGAGATGGACTAAACCCTGTGACTTAACTGTAAACAAGTGAAACAAGTTTTGAGTCAGCTATAGAATACCTCCCACAGAGCCAAACATCACATGGACACCAGCAGAT